AGGAGTTTTATAAACCTGCGAGCCAGCGAGCCATGCGAGCCAAAAGGCGAGCCAGTGCGAGCCATGCGAGCCATGCGAGTCATGCGAGTCATGCGAGCCCTAGAACAAATGTTAAGATTGTTTATTTGTTACATTTATATTCACATGAGAACAAGAACAAGAGCAACGGAACAAAATGAATAAGATCGCAATATCAAATTCTTGCAATTTTAAATTCTAAGGGAAGAGACAACCACATGCAGCAGTCAGCCAACCGACAAAGTTTTGATAACTCTGATTCCCTGAAGAGCGAACCTGTTAAAATTACGCCATTCACTCACCATTCTTGACGCCAATACATGGAGTTGCCCTGAAGTACTGTTCTCTTTTTTCTTGAATGATTTTCAACGTGGATATCAATGAATGACAGGTGCCATGGATACCATTCACCTACCCATTCGAGTAGCGGTGGGGCGGTCGAGCCGTACGTTTCTCTCAGAAAATTTTCTTTACTTTAGTCTTGAACCTTAATCAATTTTTGATGCATTGTTTTTATTTCTTGCAGATCCTGGGCGATTTGAATAGACAAAATTTTCTCCAAACAACAAAAATGTGAAACAAAGAAAAAAATTCATCACACTCAGGGCAGCCATTACTATGACGCAAGACTTGGCACGATGCACAGATGTTTAGAGCATTTTTCATATTTGCCGCACCAGCAATAGTTCTGGTAACCGAAGCGAGATTAGGATTTTCTTTTGGGAATATTACAATTGTAGGCATTTTTGAAGCTAAATTTAAAATTAATTTCCCAGGGAAAGAGAGAGTACCCTGGGAGCGAGGTTGTAGTCGTCCCCAGGGTCATCTCCGCTTTCAAGATGGCGGGCGGGCGCTCTATAGCGATAGCTTAGTGATAGTCGGGCGCGAGATCTATGTTTCTTGGTGAAAAGTCGATGACCTCCCATACCAATTGAAAAAAAAATACTCGCAAAAATGGCTCGCATGACTTGCATGACTCGCATGACTCGCATGGCTCGCACCGTGGCTCGCAGATTTAGCAGGCCCAATAGAGAGGACTGGTTATGAAGTCTGGCAAACATCAAAGGAGCAAACAAAGTTAAGATGCCAAGATTTATGTTGGAAGGTCCACCGGTGTGCAAAATCTTTTGTTTTGCGCTCGTATGCTATACATGAATTACATAACCAACATGTTTCTATTGGTTAGTTCCTCAGTACTGAGTAAACAACTATTGTGTTTTGTGCACGTTCAAGGCCAAAAACACGAACAAAAACATATAACAACGAACTTTGTCAGGTTTCATAACCATTCCCCTCTATTGACTATGGTGTAATACAACAAAGCCTGTTCTTGGGTCTTAGGTCTTTTTCCCGAGGTCTTCTGTTTTTGAGATGCCGAGGAAGTCTTAGGTCTGTTAGTTTTTGAGATTCTGAGAGGGTCTTAGGTTTTAGTTTTGGAGATTTGGAGGGGGTCTTGGGTCCTAGTTTTTTTGGAGGGGGCTTTAGGTCTTAGTTTATGAGATGCCCATGCTGAAAATTATGCTCCATGGGAGGTGTTATGCTCCTAATTATGCTGGACTAAAATGAAGTTTTCCCTCTCTTAATGTATTCCAAGATTCCTGGCACTCGCTGGGATCCCACCAAGGTAGCCTGTTTTCCTGGCGGGATCCTTCCCGGGAAAAATTCCCCTCGTACATCTCAGCAAGAATCTTGCCGAGAAATCTGTACTTGCTGGGATCCCACCAAGAAAAAAAATCTCCTCCAGGATCCCAGTGAGAATCCTGCAGGGAGGTAAAATCTTGGTAGTATTCCCAGCGAGAACCAAATTCTTGTTGAGAAAAAAATTCTTGCATAGAAATTCCCACCGAGAACTTGTACATTCTCGTTACTGAAACGCAAATCCTGGCGATGGTGCGTTAAATTTGATCTTGAGATAAACTTCTTCCAGGTTGACCCTCGAAGCAACTGCCACTCTAAACCTATCGTAAGCCATAGCTAGTTAAAGTTTTAATAATAAATATGAAAATTACTCAATTCTGATTGGCTGAGAGCAGTGCAGTTCAAGTGTAACACCAGTGCAAAACGTGTAACACTAGTACAAATTGCACATCATAATTCTGGATTATGATTGGCTGAAAGACAATAGGAAATTTTCTAAGCCAATGATATAACCTAAAATGATGACAAAAATTTTGTGCGGAAACTTTGAAAAAAGTTTTCTCGAATGAGAGAAAAATGGCTTCAAGAAAGATCTTCTGGCACTTTCTCCACACAAATTTTTTCATGTTTATATCATTAATAAGTAATCGTACAGTTTTTCTCATTCAATTTGGAATTAATTTGCAACATGTTTTTGTAAAACTCACTCGTGCTAATTAATTCCAAATTGAACTTGAAACCCTATGATTACCTATTACTAGGGACTTTAAGATATGGTACAGCTAGGCTGTCGTACGGCGGTAGATAGTGAAGATCACTTCCGGTGACGTCATGACGCGTGTACCAGTATAGCTTTCCCGCTGTAGCCTTGCCTTCTACTACGGGAAAGTGCCTGGTTTCACGTACTCTTCACTACGCGAGTATAAGCCTGCTGTTTACTTCTCATTTTAACGCTTTTTTCACTGTTTGAACAGCCTAGTTTGAAGACAAAGTTCTCAATCATAAAAATCAGTTTTAAGATCATTGTTTCTTTGTCATTTGTACAGAAAACTTGAACCATTTTAACACCAACCGCGAGATGATGAATTCAGTCATATTAGTATTGGGCCGAATAACTGTAGATACGAAAGCTTTGCATGTACTAATCTGAGCTATAATTATTTATTTAACTGTTCAAAATATATTTATTATGATCAAAAGTTTTGTATTTGCGGGTTTATCACGTAATCGTTGTATGAGCAACCTGAACGTGTTGAAATCGAGCTTTTTTATATCAGAGTTTATATTTTGTTTTGTGGTTGAAATTACAGGCGGTGCCACAGGTGGTTCTATCAAGTTCTAAAAGGCAAATATGAGTTCTGGGAGATGTAAGACGGATACAGGAGAAGGAAATCATTGTCATTAATCAAGCCTATTTCCTATGAAAGTAGAATAATCTCTGGTCTCCTTGAAAGTAGTCATTTTTGTAAAGACACGTAAAGACTGCACATACCGTTGCCGTACAGCAAAATCTTAATCATTTGATCGAGTTTGGCGGGTAAAACACCGTTGTCAGCCTCGTCCCTCACAGCCAAAGTAGCCGTAGTAGCACCTTCCCGTAACGTATCTTAAAGTCCCTACTAATATTTTATTACGGCTCAATCTTAAAGTACAAGCTGTGAAGACATGTTTATTTAATTAAACATGCCGATTGCATCTAGACGAACTGGAGCTTTTAATGGCGACAACTACCCAAGTGCTCTGTCGTGCTTTATAGTTTAAAGACGAAAGATAACATTTTTGTTGACTTTCGTGTGTGAACAAGCTTCTCTGCATGATTTTAATTAGAAGCCCATAGATGGAATTTACTTTGAAGCTTCAGTAAGGACCTTTCTGCAGGGAAAAAACTGCTTTGTTGAAGTTGTTGTAAATTGCGTACCAGCTGTACGAGTGTCAAACCGTGGATGTTGCGCAAGGAATTTCATGAAGAAAGCTTCAAGGTAGCCTTAATGGAACTGTGTATGCTGAATAATTTTTAACAAACTCCAAAACCTGAACTTCGGATAAAGATAAAAATTTTTAATGAAAGCCACTGGGGTGAAATTGTACTTGTTACCACTTATAAAAGGCAATGATTGTTATCAGACTAAGTTTTGACTTGAGGTGGCTTGAAATGTCATTCATGAAAACTACAAATGAAAGTTGCTTCTTCATGGCTTCAACAGATTAAGTTTGGTAGATTATGTTATCTTCTTCGCTTTGAGTAAAGGGTTAGTTTCTCTTTCGTTGTTATTTCAGTAATGATTTTCTTTTACTAAAAATGTTGTTACATGTGAATATTGCAAAGTGTTAACGTGAGCCGCATTTCTTTTAAGCATAAAGAGTCTCATGCCAATTTGCGTGCATCTTAAAGGACTCATGCTTTTGGAAGTCTTTCAAGTATTGTACTTGTAACTCAATGAGAGGGCTCAAATTCACTGGTGAATGACCCAGATTAATAGGGCACAACAAATAAACTGACAACCTCTTGTTGACTAACGTCCCAAATGTAATAACATTTAATTAAAGTTATAAGACAAGTCTGTCTAGTGTTAATTACATTATGGCATTCCCCCATTTTGGCTGTTACATTGTTTCAGTGTTATTAGGCCAGGCAACTGTGTTTTATCGTAAATTGAATGAATCTGACAATTTTAGCAATTTTATACATACTTACCTGTGAAAAACACAGGAGATATGTCGCGACGATCATTATCTCTAAAGGTCAGGGCTCCAGCAACCATAAATTCATTGCTACTACGCTTTAAGATGGCAGCACCATAGGGCTTACGATCCCCTCTGCCAGTAACTTCTTCATATGTTCTGTAAGGATGTTCGTGGACTTCATGGAGTTGGTACACAGGAATGGTCCCTGATCGGCTCAGCGTTAGCCCTTTCACAGAAAATATTGTCTGCCCATCGTCTACAAAATGACACAGTAAGTCCTCATTTGGTTGAACTCCTTCGCTGGCAACTTTGAATGGTCGATAAGTAAAAATGCTTTGATTTCTTTTGCATTTCTTGGAAGGGTTGATGGGAATTACAACAAGGCCAGGAAATTGAGTAATGTGGGTATTCCCAGCAATGTCTTCTAACTTGACTGTTTTCAACTTCTGTGTATTTAGCTTCCTAAAGTCCAAGTAATAACTTTGTATGTTACAGTCACTGGGAAAGACTTTGTCACTTGATATCAGACAATAAGGGCAAGGAAGGCCTTCAATTATTGGCAAATCCTTAACCACGAAGCCAGAGCCAAGAGTTTGTGCGTTTTGGTCCTCTTCAATCCTTCTGATCCGACAAACTCCTAGCTCATCTTGCCTTTCTTTCCTTCGCTGCTCTCTCAATTCTACCCAGTTTGTGTTCCCTCTAACCACTTCCTGCATGGTCTATCTCTCATGGGGTGATTCCCTCGAGACCATTTTAAGTGTCAACCTTCTTCTAATTATCTCTCACAGCTGTTATTTGGGTTGTCATGTAATACTTCTCTGTACTAGGAAGTGGAGTTGCTTGAACTGAAGCCACCTTGACCACAGGGTGAATACAATCTAGTTGAATTCGATGAGAGCAAATAAACAAAAGAAAACAAATAAACATGTTATTTGCCAGCCAGTTAAGGCCTGTAATGGGAAAAACTGTGCCCAAGGTCTGGAGTATGACAGACCTATAGCTAGGTTGGCAATTGACATGTATATATTTTTTCCTGTGGTTAATGGGTTTTAAGAAATGGACTTCTTTATGCAACTGTGTTATTGAATTGGCTTACGTGCCATCTACAGATCATTCATAAAAAAAACTCTTCACAACAAGTAACTCAGATACTAGATACAATCACTATTTTGTATTTAGGAACAGATTCATTACTAACTACTTATTATGCATTTAGTTCACCAGTTAAGTTCTCCAAAATAATTGTTCTTCTGGAGTGAAATTTTGCATTGTACAAAGCAGAGGGGTAGCAGGGGGACAGGGGTCTGAACTTCCTGCACCTGTATCTCCTGGCTCCCAACNCCCCCACCCCACTGTCCCCTGAAAATTAGAAAACACATCCTAGTCATTTAACTGTGCAGTTCTTAAAATTTCATTCATTTTAAATGGTCTTTTATATAGCCAAGTTGTGCATTTGACCTTGCATTTCATGGTGTATGACATTGCCACTGTAAAAGGGTCAACAATTTCACTGGAAGTAAGACTTTTTTTA